AAAAAAAAAAAAAAAAAAAAAAAAAAAAGAAATGACGACAGTAAAAATGCTTGAAGTAAGAAAGTACTTTTAACTTTTCAAAGCACTTTCATATACTTTATCATTTTTGTATGTCACAATATTGTCCGTCCCCCTACCGCCAGACGTGTATGTTCGTTGTTGCATTTAGAGAATGAAGTAGAATGATTTCACTTGGGATAAACGGAAAAGAATTCTTAAACTGAGGCTTCTCCTTTAAGCAGTCCCTATTCCATTAGGGTTTAAGTTATCTTTTAATGTTACTTAACATTTTTATTTCCTAAATCTTGGAGGGTGACAATTTTTTAGCTTAATGTCAGGCACTGTGCTAAGCATTTTTAGGTTCATTACCTTATTTAAATATCATTACAATACTTTGAAGTGGATAAGGTTATTATCCCCATTTTTAGATGAAGAGACTGAAGCTTTTTAATACAGCTCTGCCCAAAAAATATATAATGCAAGGCACAAATGAAATTTTACGTTTTCTAAAAAAACAAAAAAATTTAAAAATAAACAGGTGAAATTAATTTTAATAATATATTTATTTAAGCTGTTAGCCAAAATATTATCACTTCATCATGTAATTGATAAATACTAATGAGATATTTTACATACTTGTGTGGGTTTGTTCATTTACTAAGTCTTCAAAATCAGGTGTGCATTCTACACGTGCAGAACAACTTGGGTGGGCGAGGCACATTTCATGGTCTCAATAGCCATGTGTGGCTAGTGGTTATCTTATTGAACAGTACCGGTCTAGAGATTAATTTGTCTGTAGCCACACAGCTAGAAAGTGGAAGAGCTGAGACTCCAAATTTGGTCTAAAACCAAAGCCCTTTTCTAACCACTTGGGAATCACTGCCTCCTGCTAATTGCAGTCATTGCAAATGGTGTAATAGTAAATGTGAAAAATATCACTGAGAAGGTATTTTATCCAGTCTTACTGTTTCACGCCCACATACTCACCTACTTTCCCAATAGCAATGAAGATTTATTCATTGTAATATTTTTTGTGCAATGCACAGTACAAGTTGGTATGTACAACACAAAAATGAACGGAATTTGGTACAAAATAACTGCCACTTGATGGACACAAATTACTTATTCTTATTCATCTACATGACCTGTGTATTCTCTCTGCCCAGAGACTACATGAGAAGGCAAATCACAATCAGATGACAGATTGCCTGATAAGGGATGTTTCAATGCAAGGACAATTGAAGTAACAATATTTGATTGGCTTCATCAATCTCATATCAAAGGCAGTTTTGCCAGAGAGATGAAAATGTGCCTGGGTGGCATTGCCACTGCTCATCTATTTGAGTCGTCTTTTACTAGGACTCCATGGCTGATCAAGCCTTCTGCAGAATGACACATTATTTCTGAGTTTTAATAAATTCTTACAGGCCTGAGAAACATTCTCACTCACTGAAATTTGCTTAAATCTCTTCTTTGATCCATTATATAATCATATAATGGCTTTATAGTTTAACCCTCAGAGAATAGACATAGTTCTATGTTTATGAGGTATGCATTACCATAATTTCCCCTTCATGATTATAGCAAAATCCTGGTTCAGGTTCCTAATTGGAACACAGGAAAAACAAAATGCAATAAAAATCACAGTTCCTTCATGGCGTTTCCTCCAAAAAACAGATTCCCACAGTGTCCTTTTCACTTTTGAGGGCTTTTGTTAACTACAAAATTTTTGATGTGATGCACATTCTGAAAACATGTAACTGCACAGTCTGAAGACCATACACCGAGGGGCAGGAGAGTGGACTGGAAATAACAAGGGTTTGAATTTCCCGATTTTATATTTTGTAGCTATATAACCTTGGGCATTTTACCTAGTCTCTGTTTCTTCATTTGTTAATAAATAAATGAAGCCAATAATACTTACCTCATAGAATGGTTTTGAGGATTAATAGGACAATTCATATAATGCAGATCGTGCATAAAAGGCATTCAGTAAAGGGGAGTCCTCTCTACAAGCACAGCAAAGTTCTCATCAGTCCTTTTAGAGTTAGCGCACCTTCAGCTTCTGCCAGGTGTCCTGGCTTTTGGTTATTCCATTGCTCATTGGTGCCACCATCAGACAGAACACAGGAGAAGGGAAAATGAGGAAAATTTTTTCATTATTTTCAGATCTGGATTTCTGTCAATCTTTTCAACAAACTGAATTTCTCAGATGATTTTCTGGGTTACTCAGTTCAACTAGTAGAGTCTTGATGTGTAAATAATGTGTCTACTTCACACAGATCATTTTCTATTGGACTATGCACTTAAAACTAAATGTTGTACTCTATATTATAGAAGAATCCAGATTAACTATAAAGCAACCATGTAGATGAATGGGAATCCAGTCTGTTACTCTTCAGCTCCATAGTCTTGTGTGAATAACCTGTCCTCTATGAGCTTCTGTTTTGGGAATTGTAGAATGGAAATAATAATATTAACTTAAGTCTCTCATGATGATAGCTTTAAATACTTCATAATAGTCACCAAATAGTTCTCCCCCCACCTCAGGTTTTGATGGCAATTTAAAAAAATCAATTAAGTGGTGTCTAATGATGATGTTATGAATAATTATTAGTGCTCTGAAAGTACCTGCATGTCATGGCTCTGCCACACGATCACAAAAGTCCTGGATCAATCAGTGATTTTATTTTCATTGAGTTCCTGCCATCCCCTGTGACACAATCTCCTCCAGCAGTACAAACCCCAAGAGTCAGAGCCGTTACCATCTGGCAGCTTCTGATTTCATCTCCCAGACATTTCCTAGCTCCCAAGAAAAGGACAATGCACGTGCTGGATACTGTGAATAATGGAAGCAGAGTTACAGGAGGAGTAAAATGTCATATTAAGTGTCTTCCCAGAGAAGCACAAGCCAATACTTCCTTGTGCTTTTTTTCATGCAGACTGCACTGAACTGCAGTGATGATGTTTCTCCCAGTACTAGCTTTAGGTGTAAAAAAAATTGCAAAAATAAAAAAAAAATGATGTAAGGAATATTTGAACCAAGGCTTTAACCTTTTAAAATATCAGGAATTGGAAAGGAAGCAGTTAAGAAGACAGTAGAGGGACATACTGGAATGAAAGTCATAATGATTTATTTGTCCTTCAATAAAAAAAACTTTCCATGAAGAAGCTGTTGGAGAAAATCAACTCATAATAATAGGCCAAATTTTTCCTTCTTGATGCCATCTCCCCCTTTCCATTCAATAGACAAAAAATAAAAATGGATACTGTGCTCTTGGCGCGCTCGAAGATATTGTCTACTTTTTCTCCTTTTATTTGGGGAGAGCCTCCTCCTTTCAAAAACAAAGTAGAATACCAGAAAGATAAGTTTTTCTGCAAGTTAAGCACGGAAAGTGGGTCTTCCCCCTAAAACCGCACACCTTTCTAGAGAGAGGAATTTAGAAAATTCACCTGGTTCACTCTCTGGCCTCTGGGTAAATTTAAAGACTAGCTCCTTGGAACAAGAATCAGAGCAGACCAGCTGGAGAGGTTTTGATATTGTTGCTATTTGTTTTTAATATCATGCCAGGGACGAGGGAATTAGACCCTGCTTTTTGATACCCACGACCCATCCTAGGTATAACCAGTCACATCACCCCTAGTCGCTTTAGTGTTCTTGGGAGACATTGCACACTGATGCCTGCCTGGGCGTTGCAGACTAGGCAGCCGGAGCGCGCTGGCAAGCACCAACCTTGCGGCTCTGAGCTGGGTTCTTCCTTTTCTTGCATCCTTCCCTACGTTGGAAACGCGCTGTCTATGCCGGTGATGCTGCCCAGTCTCCGGCAGCGATGCGGCCGGACCCCACTAAAGCAGCCCGCAGGAACAAACCTGCTTAAGCTCACTCGTACTTGCTTTCTGGGGTAGCCAAACGCCAGACCTCCAACCGCCTCCCACCCCTTCTCCCCCCTGCGCACACACCCTCGCCGCCCCCAGACGATCAATCTGGAAAGGCAACCGAGGTACCGACCCCGCTCACAGTTGAGTATGATATATGCAGACACAGCCTCTGGCTCCAACTGCGGCTTTGCCTGGCTCCTGCCCCTACTTCCACTAGTCTGCCTTAAGTATCCTTTGTATGAGAAAATGGTGCTGCTGGATGCCTGTTCTCTAGCTGGAGTCAAGGCAGCCAGCGGGATCTAGAGAAAAACACAGACAACAAGAAAAATCAAACTTCTGTAGGATAATGTGAATGAGCGAAACTTAAAAGGGAAACCTAAGAGAGCAGCGAGCGTAGAAGTGAGGGAACCAATGCATGCCCTGGTTTTTGCTTCGGGAAGCCCGCAACCCGAAAGCAGTGCGTTTTCCCCAGCAGCGGGTCCCGCACGCAAGTGTGTCGCCAGCACGCTTTCTGCCGCTTTCTCGGGGCGGCGAGCAGTAACTTCCTAAGCTTACCTCCATCTCGCCCCCGCCCTTCTTCCCCGGTTCTCCGTCAGCGGGGAGGGGCCGCCCCCGGAGCGGTGGGGGCTGTGGGGTACAAGGAGTGGGGACCAGAGGGGGGTACCCAGCAGTTGGTGCTGCGCCATCCCCTCCCAGCAGGCGGCCCGGGCACCGGTTCACTTCTCTCCCCCGCCTTCCCCTCGCTCACCCCCCTTCCTTCCCCCTTCTCCCCCCCTTGCTAGTCCCTCCCCTTCGCCATTGAAAAGGGCTGGCTCGGCACTGGCTCCTTGCAGTCGGCGAACTGTCAGGGCGGGAGGAGCCGTGAGCCAGAGCTGCACGCAGCGGCCCGCGCAGCAAAGCGGAAGGCAAGCCAAATAGAGTGCGCAGAGTGGCAGTGGGAGCGACAACACAGGCGGCACAGGCGGCACAGGCAGCCCGGGCGGCCGGAAGAGCCTCAGAAACAACCTCCAAGACTACAGCTGCTCCGCGGACTGCGAGCTGTGGCGGTAGAGCCCGCTACAGCAATCGCAGTCTCCGTGGAGCGGGCAGAAGCCTTTTCTCCTTTTCGTTTACCTCTTCATTCTACTCTAGTGGCTTCAATCACGAGGTAAGTATGCGGTCCGGGTGCCAGAACAGAGTGCGGCTGGGGAGGCGTGAGTCCCACACTTAGTGCGCGGAGCCTGCCTGCTGCCTGCTCCTGGGGTCTGGACTGTGACCACAGAGTGGTTTTAGAGACGCTTTTGGTGTCCTCCCTTCCCCCCTCCTCCTTCTCTTCCCTTGAGGTAAGAGGAAGAGCAAAGCCCAGAGGTGAGTGCAGAGAGAATATCTTTTTGGCACTGCTACCGCTGGGCTTGGTTACTTTGCGAAAACTCTCACTTCTGTCAGAAAAGTGTCCTCGCACGAGTTTCCCCAACATGGGCTATGCAGAAACGTCTTTCACTTTAAAGACATAGCCAATTTACGCGAGGCTGAGAGAAACTCGGATTGGGGCAGGTGCTGAGAAAAGAGCACGCCCCAGACTCCCGGGCTAGCCTGGCGGAAGGGTCCGTGCTGAGAGGCAATGCCTAGAAATGAGAATCTGCCTTGGACTCGCTGGGCCAGGCCTCGCTGCACTCCTCTCTCTGGGGGCTCGGGTTTGGATCCTGCCCAGGCTGGTTCCAACCCTTGGGGGGTCCGACCCTTGGCTCAGAGCGAAGGAGAGAGCTGCGCGCCACGGGGCGCGCAGGGTCCCCGGGCCGTTCTTCCTGGCTCTCGCCTCCCGCCCTACTTATGGGGCTGTGATCAGCCAGCACCTGCTGGATGTGGAGATGGGAGGTGTGGAAAATTCTGCTCACCTTGAAAAAAAGCAACTTCTTACAATCGCGTAGCCAAAAAACGGCACTATTTTCTATTTTTTTTTAATGACTTTTTCTAAGAGTGTAGCTGAACATAAAAGGGTTTTTCTTTCTCTAAAGAAATGATTTGGAAGCCCTTAGCCAAAAAAAACCCCGCCCACCTATCCCATAAATAAATGGGGTTTTCTAAGACAGAACCGACAAACAGTTCATCTCTCCACAAAATAATTATTTTTCTTAAAGCGTGTAGCTATAAACGACTCCTTTTTGCGAAAAGGAATGCCTCTTAATAACAGCGTCATCAGAAAAGGCGACTTTTTAAAAGCGAGTAGCTGCAAACGGGTGCATTTCTTTAGAGACTTCAGAAGAGCGGAGCGGCAGTTTGCCCTGGGTTGCAGACACGACTTGCGTATGAGCGCTTAGTCGCACATTGGTTCTCCCTCCTGGGAGGGGGGAACATCACATTCCCAAAGCGTATAGAGGGAACCCTTCCTTGCCTTCTCCAAGGAGAGACTTTTAGAGCTTAATTGAAGAAGACCCCTTTGCTCCCAGAATGAATATTCCGCGCTCCGGTGCTTTGGCCGCCTTTGCGGCTTGGGGTGCGGGGCGCTGAGGTGCGCGTGTGGAGTGCTTGTGCGCGCGCGCGCCTGCGGGCGGCCCCTAGCCTCGCAGAGCTGGGTGCCCTTCCAAAATGTTGGCTCAGGGGCTGGGAATCCAAACTTGCGCCACTGCGGCACACACCACAAAGCAAAGACCACAGAGGAGGAGCTAGGACAAAAGAAGTAATAGAGTTAAACCGCAACAACAACCAAAATACAAAACGCATCCTTCCTAGTGCGAAACATCCCCAAATGGGCTTTAAACCTAGCCTAGAAGCTGTTTCTGTATGAAGGAAAGTAAGTGCACGGAAGCAAGTGGTTGAAAATCGGGGTAGACGGGGAAGGGGGCAGAAAAGATGAGGATGGGGCGATGGTGTTAGAGGAGCCGGCGTGCGGGCTCTTAGCGCTGCTATCAGGAAACAACCTGAGGAGCGTGCGGAGAATTCCAAACACTGAGCACAACTCCAGAGAAGGTAAGCAGCGTTATGACTTAAAGCGCCCATCCTCCTCCACTCCACAAAAAGTAAAATAGGTGTGACTCAGAAAAGAAAAAAGCGGGGGAGAGGGGGACTTGCAGGTACCTTCGCGACTTGGTAAAAGACTAAATGGAATTCCACTCAATCTTGTTTGAAATAAACTCGCACAATCACGGCGGGAAATCTCAGCCTCAGGGCTGTCCTTTTCCGTGGGCGGAGGGGAGGGGGTTGAAATCAAGTCGAAGTAATAGTATATGTACATGTTTCTCCCTTTTTTGCCTTTGTCTGGTTCATCGGAGGCAGTGCGGATGGTATGCGGGCGGTTTTGATGAAAGAACCGAGAGACGAACACACGCTAAGGTCTAAGGATACCCCTCACCCTCTGCTAAATTAAGAACTGCCACGCGCAGCTCCCGTGAGCTGAGTCCTGCCGCGGCTGCCAAGGCGCTGTGCTTGCCAAGCGGCGACGGAGCGCCTCAGTGAGCAAGGCCCAGAACCCTGTTCTCCAGTCGCCTTTGCACTGGCAGCCCCTCCTTCTAGCAATGATGTCAGCCGCGGAGAGGCTCGGCGGGCCGAGAGGAGGCCGAGCCGAGGGTCCTGGCAAGGAGCGCGAGCGGCCCTGCCTCGCGCGCTCCCTGCGCGCAGCCGCCCTCGCTTCCCTTCGGCCTCTTCCCGCGCTCCAGCTCAGCGCCCCTCCTTCCTCCTCCCGGGCTCCCCAGAGGCGCGTAGAGGCGCCGGAGGTGGGGGCGGCCACCGTGGGCCCCGCAGCGGCCGGTTTTGAACGCCAAGATCAAATTCAGGTTCGGGGTCTTCCCCCACCTCATTTCTTCTTCCGCCCGCGCCCCACTCTGTCCCGTTTTCACTTCGCACCTTCACTATTCACAATGAATTTACTTATTTAGCGGCATTTTAGAGGGCAAGTTTTTCAGATGAAATAATAATAGTTACTAGTGTTAAATTTCCGCTGTTTCCCGTCCTGCCCCTCCCCCCCCCCACACACACACCGGGTGATAAGAAGGATGTGAAGACCGGCTTCTTTAAAATCCCGTGCCTGTCTCTTTACCTTCCACAGAGCAAGCTTCCTAGAAGGCGAAGGGGGTCGTCTTCCTAAAGAAATGGTGCGGTGGGGGAGGGAGACAATCGAAGGCAAAGGAGCGGGTGGGGAGTCCCCTTAACTGAAAGAAGGGACTGGAAATTGGGACTTGTAGAGATAAAGGCTCCGTCCGCTGCTGCCGCAGGGGAGAGGCCACCGTCCTCTTTATTATAAGGCCGCGCAGTCACTTCTGGCGGCCGTCACGCCAAATCGGGAAGATTCAGGAATAGGTCTTTCCGAGACGGAAGCTCGCTGCGGCTTCCCTTCTGAGCTTACTCTTCTCTTCTCATTGTAAGGAGCAACTCCCTGCTTTCTCGAATTTGAGGCTCATCTGTTTTCCCTGGTTGCGGACAATTCTTTATCTCTGGGGGAGGGCCGCAGCGCGCAGTTGGAGAAGGTTGTCCAGGGCAAGACGGAGGGGACGGGGGCAGGGCGCTTGGAGGCAACTGGATCCTGGAGCCCAGTTACCTTCTAAAGGAAATTATATTCAAGGGGGATCGCAGCTAACTGCTTACGTATTGTATTTTGGTTTGGACGCAGGTGGGAGATATAGGGGACAGGAAACAGGAGCAAAGAATTCTTCCGTTTTGTAAATGTAGGGTTTTGTTTGTTCGTTTTTCACGTTTTTCTTCTTCCCTTTGATGGAAAGCTTCACTTACGTGATATATCGCTGAAAGCCAACTTGAAGTTGCTGTGCGTTTGAAATACAGGAATGGAAAGGAAACTCAGACCAAGCATAAAAACACATTTTCTAGAGCCCAATCATTTGCTAAGGGGTGAAAGGAGCCCCCCTTCCCTTTTTTAATCACCCGGACGCCATTCAGATAGATGCCCAAGTAATGTTGGCTTTAGGCAGCTGAAAGCCCTGGCAGAAGGGATTGCAGGTTTCACATTATTCCTTCTCTTGGTGTTCAAACTTATGTATTTTGCAAGATAGAAATTCCTGAAAGAGAGTTTCCAGACTGCTGATGGCATGAGGAAATCTGGTAAGGGATTTAGAAAGCAGAAAATACCCCTTTTCTCTGTGCAAGCAATCCACAAAAACCTTTAGCCAAGATTTATAAGATTTCTGGGGGAGCGAGGGGAGGCACAGCAACAAGGAGACTTTATAAACTACTGGCTTTGAGCTAGCTACATTGACAAAATATGTATGGCTGCCACGTTTTCTATTAGTGAGAAAGGAAATTATTCAGGGGATGAAAATTTGAAAGCTAATTCTCTCCAATAATCTTGCTTCACATATTTTAAAGGAGGTGTCATCCGTTTATTTATTCATCAAAGAATCCACAAACATTAATTAGTCACCTACAGTGCCAGACGATGTGTTAGGCTCCAGGAATACAAAAGAGAATATGAAAAACGTGGCATGGGCCTCTTTGAGCCAGGAGACTGTTATGAAACTAGGATACAATGTGATAAATGCTCTAATTGAGCATAATGGAGAGAGGAATTAATTTTTGCTAAGACAGACGTTGGGAAGTGGTTCATAAAGAAGGTGTCTCTCTGGCTTTAAAAAATAGTCATTCCTAGTCAGTGGCTAGCCAGGAAGTAGACCTTGAAGGTCATTGCCTGACACAGACTAAGCAAGGAAGGGTGTGAGGGACTTGATATCTTGCTATGGAGTTAAGAGGTATGTGTGTATTGTAGACAGGCCACCTTTGAAGGTTTTTAAAGCAAACATGTTAAAACAACTACAACAAAACAGCACGAGAAAATCGGGCAGTAGGTGGCACACAGAAATATTGTTTGTCTTTAAATGAGTAATTAAATAAACTGATGCATTGCAATAGAGAGTGGAGATAAATGAATTAAGAAGATACTGTAACATCTGGGAAAGAAGACAGATAAATGAAGAGGGCCTGAAGTGCATCAGTAGAACCAAGAAAGAAAGGAATGCTACTTTGGGGAGAAAATGGCTCTTTAGTCATCATCACCTATGCTATCCACTTTTATCTTTTTCGTCACCTCATTTCCCCCACCCAAATACCTCATATTCCACCAACAGAATAAATTTCCTTTGTCCTGGAGAGACCCCCACTCACTCATCCCCACTTCACCCCATTTTCCACACACCTTCCTGCATCATTTCTGAACCCTACCTCAGC